GCCTTCTTCAGCTCCCACCTGACCGGAGCGCGCGGTGAGTGGGCGGGCCTCCTACCTGAGCCTCTGCCTTTTTTATGCACTTAACCATTTCTTTCCTCTCTAGTGGTACTGGGATGGGGGGGTCAGATCTAGTAGGGGCGCCCTACCACGATGCTACATACCCAGTGCTTTTTTTTTTTTCCTTATTGTGGGACAGTCTTGCTGAGTGGCTCAGGTGGGACTGAAACGTGCAACCTTCCCATGTCGGGCAGGGCGCTGGAATTCCAGGTGTGTGCCGCCGAAGCCGGCTTTTAAAAATAGCCTCATAGAGCAAACATTTCATGTATACTAACTACTCGTGTAAGGAGAGTCAAAATGTAAATGCCTCGTTTATGTCATCCCCTGGCTGCTCCTGCCTGGAGGAGACCACTGCTAACACTGACCTGTGTCTGCACTTGTCTCCCATACCTAGGCCCTCTTTGATGTCCCTATGTGTCACGTACTTGCACTGTGCCCATCCCCAGGCTCTGGGCTGACTGTCCTGCCCCCCCACATCGAATGGGACCCTTGGAGGTACCCTGACAGACACAACTTTTGGGATCTGCCTGGCAGAGGCCAGCAGAGGGGTGTGTGCCACTTTGGGACACTCTTGGCCAGCCAGACTTCCGAGGACAGAGGATGGGTTCACCCCATTCCTCTGTCCCCGTGCCCACAGCCCTGCTCAGAGACTATCTCTGAAACCCTTTGGGCTCTGCTACAGTAGGTCTAGGTGCTTCCTGGGGATCCAGGTGAGGCCCAGAGGCCACTATGACCCTGGGTGGGGTGGGCAGATGCCTGACTGGGCTCCATGGGACAGCCACCTGGGGCTGGAAAAGTTACCACAGTGTCCCCAAAACAAACAAGCAGGAAGTGTGTGTACTAAGTGTGGCCCAGATCCTTTTTTGTTGTTGTTGTTTTTAGTTGTTATTGGGTTTTTTGTTTTGTTTTGTTTTGAGGCAAGGTCTCACTACATAGTTCAGGCTGGACTTGAATTATGTAGCCCAGGCTGGCTTTGAACTCGCCATGATCCTCCTGCCTCAGCCTCCCAAGTGCTGGGATCACAGGCATGCACCACCACACCTGGCCACGTCCTGGTTTTAGAAGAAAAAAAATTATAGCAAATCTTTAAGAAGTTTTAGCAGTCTTAGGACTGCTGAAGAAGTGTGAATATGAACAGGACATTTAGGTGAGACTGGGAATTTCTGTTACCTTTCCTAGCTGAGGCATGGTACCGGGGTTATGTAGGATAATTTTTGTTTTTTCCTCGGGGAAATCTTTTTTTTAGAAGATGCACACTACACTGTTCATGGAGGAAACATCTGATGCCTGTCACTATTCCCAAATGACTTTACAGGCAGATAAGCAGCTAGCTAGGTACCCGGGTCACCTGTGACCAGAGGGTGTCCCCATGACCTAGGTGCCAAGTAACTGCATGTAAGTCATGGGCATGAAGCTTCTGTCTCCACCATTCCATATGCCTCAAGTCATCTGCTAAAGTCGGAGTTTGGACACTGTGGCCAGGGACCTGCCTGGCAGGGGAGTGCAGGTGGACTTGCTGCGCTCTGCCCCTCCAGGAGTTCCCTTCCTGGCCGGGGCACCTACCTCAGGGCCGCGGTTCTCCCCACAGCTGCACGGCACAGGGATATCTGCTCCACTGTGTTCCGCAGCTCCTTGCTCCTGGTGCGCTTGTCCTGGATGATCTGATCCCGCCTCTCCTCCTCCTTGCGCTTCTGTGTCTCTTTGAGCAGGGCCAGACGCTCCCGGAGCTCCACAACAGACATCTCCCCCTCCAGGCCGTACCCCGCGATCTGCGGTGCAGGGCCACCCCAGCCCGGGAGATCTCTTTCCACATCCCCAAGGGACAGCTCCGCTGGGGGCCCCTCACCCCTGGGGCCAGGCCAGACCCCGCTGCCTGCTGACCCATCCTCCCCAGGTTTGCCCTTGTCCCATAGCCTGGCTCCTCTGCTTTCACACACAGCCTTCCTCCCCTTAGTCCCAGGCTCCACTCGGCCTGGACATTTGGATACCAGTGCTCTCCCCCACTTAACCCTGGACACAAAGGGCCCAGGTGGCCTCTCTGAAGCCTGCCTTGCCACCTCGGGACCCTGGTCCCTGCCCCTCACAGGGGCCTGGCTCGCAGCCTCTCTTGCCGGCGGGCCAAGGGGCTCACCTGCGTCAGGTCTACCAGCTTGCCCTTGCGTGAGGGCTGTGTCTCCATTGCACGCAGCTGGGAGATGAGCTTGCAGCGCTGCATGTGCGCCGCCTTGGCCGCTTCTGCCCGGTGCTGCAGCAGCTCCCGGCTCTCCTCAGTCACCTCCTGGACTTGGGGGCCAGGCAGGGTGCTGAGGGGGCCATGAGTGGCCCTGCAGGGGCTGGGCTGCTCCCCCAGCCACTGTCCCAGCCCGCCCTTCAGGGGCAGCAGCCAGGGTGGGTGGCAGCCCAGGGCCTTGGCAGGGATGGCAGAGCTGGGCACCTAGCTTCTGCCGTACCTATCTGCTGTCGGCTCTTTACGAGCTTCATCTGAGCCACCTTGACATTCTTCTGCGCCTCTGTCACTTGCTCCACCAGCTCCTTCACTGCCCTCTCCTCCCTGAGGCGTCGTTCAGCATACTGCAGCATCAGCTCCGCCATCTGAGGGAGAGGACCCAGCAGGGTGAGGGGCGCTGGGCTGCCCTCGCATCCTGTCCCAGGGATGGACTCCCCAAGGTTGGCCTCCTCTCTTCCTTGGTGTGGGTGTTTGTCACAGCAGCCCTGAGGTGCAGGAAAAGCTAAGATGCTCACAGCGGAGAGAGCTGGGTGCAGGATCCGGGAGCTCTTGTACTAACGCTGCAGCTTTTCTGCAAGGCTTTTTTTTTTTTTTTTTTTTT